CCCCCCGCCACACGTGCACGGGCAAAGTCCCCACGGCCGGGGCTGCCACCGCTGCCCGCCTGCCCCACACCGCTGCCCCTGCCCCTACTCCGTGGGGCGCTGGTGCTGCCCACGGCGGGGACACCCCGCGCGGGAGGGCAGCGGGGTGGAGGGGCACCCGCGGCCCAGCCCCACGGCAGCCTTCAGGGAAGCCACGTGCTCGCTGTTGGGGACGGGGAAGTCCCCCCAGTGAAGAACTGCTCTTCCTCGCCATTCATCACCGAAGTGAAGAAGGCTGGAGGAGCTGGAGCGGGGCCCGAGCCAGCCCCGCGCCCCGCCGGGCCGGGGGGCCCTTGTTGGGGGGGGGGGGGGGGGGGTCGTGCCCTGCCCCCCGGTCAGGGCTCGGGGTGAGCTGGGGGGACACGGCAGGGCCAGCGCAGCTGGGGTCACCGGTGCCAGGGGTCCCGGACCCTCCTGCTCCCCCACAGAGGACTCACCAGTATGGGGGGCTCGCCATTGAGGGGGGGCTCACCAGTAGGGGGGGCTCTCCAGTCTGGCCGGGAGACACCAGTATGGCTCCGACACACAGATATGGCTTAGGGTGGCCGGTATGGCTAGGATACACCGGTATGGCTTGGGGAGACCGGTATGGCTGGGACACAACAGTACGGCTTGGTGGCAAATGACACCCACAGCGGGTGTCTCGGGGTGCCCCAGGCAGTGACACCCGTGACAGGGTGTCTCAGGCTGTCCCTGGCAGCTGCCCACCACGGCAGCAGGGTCTCACCGGCAGCGCCGGGAAGGCGACAGCCCCCGGCTCCCCACGGCCCCCCGGTGCCCCCCCCAGTGGGTGCCCTGGCCCCTGCCCCCCCGCGGGGTGGCTAAAGATAGCGCAGCCCCCCCGGGCCGCGGGGTCCAGCACCAGCTGGCTGAGGTGCCGGGTTAATCTTTAGCCGCCCGATCGCTGTAATGAGGCCTCATTAACGGCCATTACACCGGCCAGAGCAGACCGGCTGTGGGACGGTGACGCGGTGACACGCTGACGGGGGGCTTGGTGCAGCGGGTGCAGAGAGCCTGCAGGTGAGTGGGACGGGGGGATGTGGGTGACAGTGATGGGCCAGGGGACATGGCCTTGGTGCCTGCAGCACCTGGCTGTGGGTCGTGCCGGTGACACCGAGGGGGTCCCAGCCACGTGGGTCAGGGCTTGAAGGGATGGACGGGGTGACAGGGTGCCCAGGTGTCCCCTGGGTGCGTGAGCTCGCCAGGAGGGTGACGGGCCCCCAGCAGTTTAGTGACAGTGTCTCCAGTGTAGTGGTGGGGTCTCCAGGGGGTGACAGTGTCCCCAGGGGACATGTCAGGGTCCCCAGGGGGTGTGCTGGGGCCCCAGGGGTGTGTTGCTGTCCCTGGGGATTGTGTCAGCCTGCCTGGCAGTGTGCCAGCGTCCCCAGGGAGCCTGCCAGGTTCCCAAGGGGTGTGCTAGGGCCCCCTGGCGGCACGTGCCAGGGTCCCAGCGACTGTGCCAGGTCCCCAGGGGGGTGCCAGTGTCCTCAGGGGGGGTGTGCCAGGCTCCCAGCCACTGTGCCAGTGTCCCCAGGGGGTGTGTGGCAGTGTCCTCAACGTGCATACCAGGGCGCTCGGCAGCTCGCCATCGTCCCCAGGGGCTGTGCCAGGGACAGGCTGGAGTGGGGAGATAAGGAGGCTGCGGAGGGGGGGGGTCCCGGCGCAGCAGCGGGGAACCGAGCCACTATCGGGTGCCGGCAGCCCCAAGGGGCCCATTGGTGCTCCCAGGAGGCTAGTGCGGGGGGGCCGTGCCGGTGGTGGGGTGCGGGTGTGCATGGTGCGGGTGTGCACTGCTTGCCCCAGGCACCCCTTGCCAGGGTCCAAACTCCGCTGCAGCGACGGTGACAGTGACAGCAGGAGAGCCTGGCCTCGTGCAGGTGGGTGAGGGTGTGCTGGGGCGCAGGAGGGGTGCCAGCACATGTGCACGTGTGTGCATGCATGTGCACACGTGCGCATGCATGTGAACACGTGCACGCATGTAAGCACGTGTGCACAGGTGTGCAACGCCCCAGCTGCAAGCAGGGTCCTTGCCTGTGCCCTGGCATGCGCAGGGGATCGGTGCCAGCCGCTGGCACTCGGGGACAAGGGGCAGAGCTGGGACCACGGTGGCCTTTGCCCGGGTGGCCACGTGCAGCCACGTGCCCCCGAGCCCCCTGCTCTGGGTGCTGGGTGGGTGCAGGGGGGTGTCACCACATGAGTGCCAGGCGGGGTGTGATGCCCTGGTGTTTGTCACCCCACAGGTGCAGCGGTGACACCCCAGGCCGGTGCCATGGCGGGGGGTGGCGCGGGGGCGGCCAAGCGCCTGGGGACCCTCCTCTCAGGGCTGCTGGAGTGTGGGGCCTTCTGCGGCATCATCTTTGGCTGGGCCTCCCTGGTCTTCGTCCTCAAGGACCTGGGCTACTTCAAGGACCTGTGCCAGCCCACCGCCACCCCCAGCCCCAACCGGACCCTGCTGCCCGGTAGGGTCCCGTCCCCTGGCCACCGCTGGCCACCGGCCACATCCCTGCGGTGGCGTGGCCTCGCTTTTGTCCTGCCTCGTGTCCCCCATGTGCCTGTGTCCTGGGGTGCTGCTGGCCCATGTCCACGTGGTGCCGGTGGCCCGAGGTGCCACATGTCCCCATTGCCTGGTGCCCTGTGGTGCCCCAGGTTCCCACTGTCCTTGTCCCTGGGTCCTCACTGTCCCCATGACCTGTGGTGCCCCATGTCCCCACTACTTGGTGACCTATAGTGGCCCATGTCCCCACAGTCCTGGTGACCTGTGGTGCCCTGTGTCCCTGCAGTCCTGGTGCCCCAGGTCCCTATTTTTCCCGTCCCCTGCAGCACCCCGTGCCCCTGCTGTCCTGGTGCCCTGTGGTGCCCCACGTCCCTGCTATCCCTGTGCCCACATCTCCACTGTCCCCATGCCCGTGTCCCCGCTGTCGCTGCTGTCCTGATGCCCTGCGGGACCCCATGTCCCCACTGTCCCTGTGCCTGCATCCCCACTGACGGCCGCCCTGCAGACTGCAGCTGGCAGGATGAGCAGTTCTCCCTGGTCTTCACCATCGGCTCCTTCATGAACAACTTCGTGACCTTCCCCATGGGCTTCATCTTCGACCGCTTCGGCACCACCGTTGCCCGCCTCATCGCCATGTGAGTGGGTGTGGGGGGGGGGGGGGGGGGGGGCAGTGCTGGCAGGCAGGGCTGGGGCTCCCATGGGTGCCTGGGGGGGTGAGGGCTTGTTGTTAGGGTGCTGGTGGCGGAGGCTGGGCTGGGGGATGTTATCAAGAGTGGGGTGGTTATCAAGGCAGCCAGGCAGGGTGGGGCAGGCAGGGCCCTGCCTGCACTGGGGGGGGCACCCATGCCAGCCCAGGGTGCTGCCTTCGGGGCACTTTGGGGGTCACAGCCCATCCTGGCAGCTGTCCGCCAGTGCCACCAAATGTCCCCAGCATGTCCTATGCCCCCCACAGTCCCAGGGGCCCCCCATTGCCCGCAGCCCCCCCCAAACACCCTCAGGTGTCCCCGATGTCCCCAGGGCACCCCCATAACCATAGGGGCCCCCCATGTCCCCCTGTCCCTTGGCTCTGGGGTGCCAGGCGGTGGTGGGGTGCCCATGAAGTGGTGGGGTGCTGGGTGCCAATGCGACAGTAGCGCTGGGGCACGGGGGTGCCAGCTGCCCCTCAGGGTCCCGTCCCCATGTGTCACCACTGTCCCCACGTCTCAGCTCCCTCTACACTGGCGGGACCCTGCTCGTCGCCTTCTCCACCCCAGGTGAGACCCTGTGGTCACTGGGTGCTCCAGCGCTGGGGGGGCACCTGGTGGGGACCCCCCCTTGTCCCTGCTGACCCCCATGTCCCCAGAGCTGGCAGTGCTGCTCTTCCCGGCCATGTCGATGCTGTCGGTGGGCGGCATCCTCCTCCTCCTCACCAACATGCAGGTGAGTCCTCCCAGCACCCTGACCCCCACCCGGGGGCTGGGGCAGCCTGCCCAGTGCTGGGGGGTTCCTAATGGTGAGGGGGGGGTGTCCTTCTGCGCCAGGTGGGCAACCTCTTTGGGAAGTACCGCTCCATCATCATCACCCTCTACAACGGAGCCTTTGACTCCTCGTCCGCCATCTTCCTCATCATCAAGGTGGGGGTCAGGGGGCAGACGTGGTGGTGCCAGGGGGGTGGTGCTGGTGCCCCCAGGGGCCTGTCCCCAGCTCAGGCACCGCGGGGAGGGCTGGGGACAGAGTGGGGAACATTTGGGTCACAGCTGGGACAGCCGGGGCCACAGCCAGGGACACACTTGGGGCCACAGTCGAGCCACCACTGGGGCCACGTGTGGGGACACAGCTGTGGCCCAGGGGTGGTGGCGTGTGGCCGGTGTGGGCCAGTGGCTCAGCCTGTTGCCGTCCCCGTCCGCAGGTGCTGTACGAGCATGGGCTGTCCCTGCGGGCCATGTTCCTCTTCATGGCGGCCTGTAGTGCCTGGCACCTGCTGCGCACCCTCTTCCTCATGCCCCGCACCCACATCCCCTACCCTCTGCCCCCTGCCTACGACTACGGGTAGGGGGGCCCAGCCTGCGCCCCACGGGGCAGCAGTGCCTGTCCCCTGGGGGGGGTGGCGGTGGTGGTGCCTGTCCCGCGGGTGGTGGCGGTGCTG